CCCTTCAGGATTTCTGAGACTTTCGCATTTGCAAACAAAATGTCGCATGTGCGACTTCGCATTTGCGACATATAAGTCGCATTTGCGGCTTCAGGCATTAAATGAAAACTTTGCATTTGCGAAGGGTATCTTGCAAATGCGAGATAAGGGCTGGCCTGGGTTGTTCACATTTGCGATTCAGTGTGAAGCCTGCAGGCCTGATCACACCAGCTAAAAAATCTGCAATTTTCCAAGTCCAAAATCCACCCAGTGGCCTATCCAAAACTCATCCGAGCCCTCGAGGCTCCAAACCAAATATGCACACCAACCTAAAAATATCGTACGGATTCGCTCATGCATTCAAATTGCTAAAATAACATCAACAACTATGAATTTAGCATTAAAATCATGAAATTTCTTAAGAACTTCAAACTTGCCAAATTTCTCAAATAAGGTCCGGTTCACATCATTTCAAATCCATTTCTTACCAATTTTTACAGGTTCGATTCAAATCATATATAAGACCTGTATCGGGTTCCGGAACCAAAATACGAGCCCGATACCAATGGTTTCAAACACATTTCACTTTCAAAAACTCATAATTTATTCAGCAAAATAATTTCTTTCAAAAATTCATTTCTTGGGCTTGGGACCTCGGAATTCGATTCCGGGCAAACGCCCAAGTCCCATATTTTCCCACGGACCCTCCGGGACTATCAAATTATGGGTCCGGGTCCGTTTACCCAAAATATTGACCAAAGTCAAATTAATTTATTTTAAAGTCAAAATTCATCATTTTTCACAAATTTTCACATATTGGCTTTCCGGCTACGCGCCCGGACTACACACACAAATCGAGGTGATGCTGAAAGAGGTTTTTAAGGCCTCGGAATACAGAATTCATTTCTAAAACAAGTGATGACATCATCACAATAAAAGAGAGCACTAAATATCGAGAGAACAACCTCACGAAGAGGCAAACACAAGTGACATACTAACACTTGTCCCGTAAGGTTCTCCCCCTAAATATAACTCTCAAACCACATGTGGCTACATTGTGGATGTTGCTGAATAAGAAGGATGGATCCTCAATTTATAGAACTCCAAACTTTTTCCTACAAGAAAAGGGACTAGCCAAATATGGAAAAATTATATTTTAATTTCCTTCTAGGAAAAGAAAAACTCAATTATGGTAAATATGTTGTCCTTTCTTTCATGAGATAGGAAAATTAATTATGGTAAGAAAATCTGGATAATTGGACGAGAGATCCATAATTTGAAGTTCTACAAATAAGCTTCTATTCCTTGAATCTTTGATGGGACCATGCAACTTATTTGATAGAGTTCCCAACCACTGTGGGAATGTGTCGTTCAACTCATTGTCACCTAAATCAAGAACTTCCAAATGCTTGCAATTGATTAAGGCCATTGTGGAATATTTCCCTCCAGCTTATTCCTGTGCAATCTAAAGCTTTTGAGTTGGCTACCAGTAGTAAAATTTGTTGGAATTGTCTCACTGAGATTATTTTTGCTTATATGCAAAACCTTAACAAATTCACTCATCTCACCTAGACATTGTGGAATAGTTCCCTTCAAATTATTACTTCTCAAGTCCAGATTTGTCAGTGATGTTAGATTGCAAATACTTGAAGCAATCTGTCCATTGATATTATTATGCGGAAGGAGAAGAAGTTCTAGGGTTTAGAAGTGACTTTGGAATAGGACCGTGCAGCTGATTGTGTCCTAGTGTCTTCGACTTGAACTCCTCAATTTGGCCACTGAAGTTGTTAAAGCTCAAGTCTAAGTTAGACAACAATGGAAGGCAAAATATCCAGGACGGTAGGGGCGTCAATGGATATTTAAAAATCGACTACACCAACCGAACCGTACTGATTTTTAGGTTTCTTTCAATAAAATCATAGGTTGTTATATAAATTTATAACCGTACCGATAATTAGGGTAGATTTTTTATTTTTTGAAAATAAATAAAAAAAATACTGAACCATACCGAATAAATTTACATGTAGAAAATATATTTATATATTAAGTTTAAAAATAATAAAGCATTAATATTTTTTTTTGGGCATTGGAATTATAAAAATAGTTAAAAGCCAACGAGTAATTAAACTCAAAATCCTAATTCACAAAATTATTATACTACTCCTATTGAAACTAAATAATTTTCAGCATATTTGTTAGCAAGACACATGGTATTCTAGCGATTATGAGTAGCAAACTGTAACGAACCGACTTGTCGTTTTAAGAATTAAAGCTTCGTTCAGCGACTTAAGGTCTCGAGCAGCTTTATAATATGTATTATGACCCGCGTGTGTGTTGAGTTTGATTCTCGGAAGATTTGGAATCTAATTTGAAAGAACAATTCTCATTTTGAAGCTTAAATGGAAAGAGTTGACCGGAGAGTTGACTTTTAAGCAAACGACCCCGGAATGAAATTTTGATGACATCAATATCTTCGTATGGTGATTTCAGACTTAGGTGTATGTCCGGATTTAGATTTGGAAGTCCGTAGGGTAATTCGACGCATTTTGGCGAGAGTTGGAAATAGAAGATTTTTTTTAAAAAATTCGACCGAAGGTGGAATTTTGATAACGAGGTCGGATTTCGATTATGGAAATTAGAACAGCTCCATTACGTCATTTATGACTCGCGTATAAAATTTGAAGTTATTCCAGATTGATTTGATACGTTTCGGCGCGAAATATAAAAATTGGAAAAACTCATAATTCGATTCGATGCGCGATTTGTAATTTCGGCATTTTTTGACGTGGTTTGAAGCTTCGACTAGGTTCGTATTGTAGTTTAAGACGTGTTAGTATACTTGATTAAGGTCCCGAGGGGCTCGGTTGGATTCTGGATCACTAACGGATCGATTTTAGAATTTTTTGAAGCTGCTGAAATTCTGCTGTTTCTGGGCAGCAACTGATACCTTCGCTTCTACGGCAAGTTCATCGCAGAAGCGACCTGGGCAGAGTTGGAGGGAGGTCTCAGATGCGGACTGTCTTGCGCACCTGCGCAATCGCAGGTGCTATGTATTGAAGACGCAGAAGCGGACTGAGGCATTAGATTTTCTGAATCAAGACTTGAATTCAAAAAAGTGAAGGTCTTTTCTGGTTTTAACATTCTTATAGATGGTTTGATCATAGACTCTGAGATCCCTGCACACATTCGGACCAAGTACTACGATCTTTGCTGCACTCAGAAGTCATTTCTCCATGACCATTTACTTAGTGGCCTGAACTGCAAGCTAGCTGCTGGAATGATCACAGAAACTGTGAACATTGCTGATGCCATTAGAGCTTCCAACATTTCGACCTCTCGTGATTATCTTGAAACTTGGAACAGAAACATTCAAGGACCAAAAAATCAGTCACCTTGCCATTTTCGATTAGGATTTTGGAGCTCGGTTTTGGGGCGATTTTGGAGGAATTCTTCTCGACTTTGACTTGGGTTCGAGCTGTCCGGAGGTAAATTCGAGCAAGAAGGCTATTTTGGAATATCGGCCTAACTCGGTAAAGAGCCAGGTATTGGAGATATCGGACTCGGACAAAATTAGAGTGTGATCGCAAGGACTTAAGGTAGAGCTGCTTGGTCGTCGCAGTCCATTGGAGTCTTTCCATTTTTATTATATTGTTAATTTCTTATTCGAACAGTAGTGTATATTCGGTCCTCGAGATCATTCCATATATTCAGTTAGAGTTCTGACTCAGTATTACCAGTCTTGGGAAGTTGTTATATTTGTTTCCACTTTTGGTTTCGAAGCTTGTATTATAATTATATGTTAAAAGAAAATGGATTGATTTGTTATTATAATCGGTTTACCTAGTCTTAGAGACTAAGTGCCATCACGACACATGTGGTGGGATTTTGGGTCGTGACACAAACTACAATGCATTGAATATGTTTCATTTCGTGTGATTTAAATTTATTTTGCATATTTAATCTTCCATATACTTTATTCTTGAATCACAGCTTGGTTAATATCTTCTCATTCGTGTGATTTATATATTCTTTGTCTTTCATTAGTTTCTTTTATGTTGTTGTATAATACTCTGGCCATCTTTCATGTTTTTTAATTCATCACCTGTTAAATAGTAAAATATATAGAGAGTTTTGCGAAGTCCTATAAAGTATGTATGTTATTGCATTCTACTTTTATTAGTGATTTTTACTTGATATTTAAAAAAATACCGAAAATTAACCGAACCGTACCGTACCGATACCGACAAGAAACCGACATGATTGAGACAATTTTAGAAAGTCTAATTTTGGTTATACATAATAAAATAACTAAAAATTTGGTATGATACAAATTTTATAAAATAACCGACCGAACTGAACCATTGACACCCCGACTTTCGGCATTTCAAGCCTAACAAAACTACGGACCTCCAAAATACAATCCGAACACACCCCTAAGCCCGAAATCACCCAACGGAGCTAATGGAATCGACATAATTCTATTTTGAAGTCTTCTTCACACTGCTCCGACTATGGTCCAATTCTAAAGCTTAAGCTCTCATTTAGGGACTAAGTATCCCAAAACACCCCGAAACTCAAAACGAATCCTCCCAACAATTCACAATAGCAGAAACAAACACGATGAATGCAGTTAATAGGGGAACAAGGCTTTAATTCTTAAAACGACTGGCCAGGTCGTTACAAATCTGCCAAGATTGGAACAAAGAAAGCAATCAACCAAGATTGTCTCAAATCAAGGAAGATTGAAGGAAGCAATTCGTAAGGAATAAAATGAATTTAGCTACTATTCTAAGCTTGATTCATGAGGCAACTCTTGGGTCATTCTCTTAGATATATATGCCTCACAAGGAAAGGACTCCTAGAATTGCTGCAATGCAATCCCATAAGACAAGGAAGCAGAAGACTCAAAAAGGCTGTAAAGGAAGAAGCAGAAGAACTTAGAAAGCTACGCAACTACGCAAACTATTTTCTATGCAACAAACTATAGATAAATGAAAACAAATCAGGTTTGAGTCTCAAAGGAAGAAAAATCATGTCCTTATTCATATGGTAACAAACACTTCATGAAACATCATAATAAACTGTGAAAGACAAAGACTTATATTTGCATCTCCAACAACTTATTAGACTTGAAACCTGCAATGTTCAAAAATGAATTAAGAATTAGAGTTAAAATGATTAGATCATAAAATATCAATAATCAAAAGAATCTGCATAGAGATCAAGCTGAATACCTAAACACACTAATGTCTTTTCTTGTGTTTTTTCATTCTCGTAACGATTGTAGCTTCCCATTCTAAAACCATCCGGGAAAGCCATAATGGATTTTGAGTTGACAGCATTATGTATATTATGGACAGTCCAATAACTAGTCCACAACCATAACCTATGAGAACCGCCTGCCAACTGATCATTGATGAATCTTCTTCTTCTCCTTGATCTAGCACAACTGGAGTTGTCGCTTGTGTTACTCCGTCATCACCACAGCCTCTTGAGGGTGGAAATCCACGTAATCCATCATTCCCTTGGTATGAACTGTTCTCGAAAGTATCAAATTGATTTCCTTTAGGGATGCATCCAACTAGATGATTGTGTGAGAGATTTACGACTGCAAGTGATGTGAGATATGCGAGTTGTTGTGGAATTCCTCCACCAATTTTGTTAAATGAGAGATCTAATGATTCAAGTACAGACAAGTGTTGTAGTGATGCTGGTATAAGACCTTCTAATCCATTGTGAGACAAGTTCAACGTACGAAGCCCAATGAGATCTCCAATAGAACTTGGAATCTGACCTTTAAATTCATTCTTTGAGAGATCAATAACTATGTTTGTAGCCAAAACTTGAACAAATAAACGATCCAATCCCTTTGTTATAATTGTCACAGAATCATATTTACCTCCTCCATACCTTGGTGTACTCATGTTCTCATCAATAAGTTTCATGGCTTGGAAAATCTTAAAAAGATTTGCTGGTAAATTCCCACTAAATGCATTGGATGAGAGATCCATAATTTGAAGTAGTGGAAACAAGTTTCTATTCCTTGAAACTCTGATAGACCCATGCAACTTATTTGATCTCAAATTTAAAATCCTCAAATTTGGTAGGATTCCCAACCATTTTGGAAAAGTTTCCTTCAACTCATTGTTACCTAAATCAAGTAGTTGCAAATACTTGCAATTGATCAAAGATCCTGGGACTTGCCCCTCTAGCTTATTCCCATGCAATTTAATGACTCTGAGGAGGTTTCCAATACTAAAATTTGCTTGAATTGTCCCACTAAGATTATTATTGCTAAAATCCAAAACCGCAGTACTATTCATCTTACCCAAACATTCTGGGATTGTTCCCTGTAAATTATTGCTTCCTAGATCTAGCACTTTTATTTTAAGATTGCAGATGGTTGAAGCAATCTGTCCACTGAGATTATTTTGAGAAAGGTAAAGAAATTGTAGGTTCTGCTGGTTTAGGAGTGACTTTGGAATTGGACCTTGTAGCTGATTTTGGCTTAGAGCAACATACTCCAATGTTCTGGACTTGAACTCTTCAATTTTGCCACTGAAATGGTTATTGCTCAATTCTAACCTTAATAGTGATGAGAGGGAGAATACGCTGGAAGGAATTGGACCAGTTAGGGAATTGGACGAAAAATCGAAGTACCTAAGTTGTGTCCCATTCAAGCACTCAAGTCGGCCATTGAAGTTGTTATTTCTAAGCCATAAGATCTTGAGATTACCGAATCTGAAGAACTGGGAAATTGGTCCTTCAAGTTGGTTATTTGAAAGGTACACAGCCTCTATACGAGTTAGATTCCATATAGGTTTAGGAATAGGCCCCGAGAGATTACAAGAGTCCATTTCCAGTTCATTCAATGAAGTTAAATAGCTAAACGATTCAGGTATATTACCAGTAAAATTCACACTGTAGAGATATAACTTTGTGAGAGATGTACTGCTATTCCATTTGCTCATTGGAAACCTAACATTGAGTTGGGAATTGTTCGACAAATCAAGAAATCCCAAGTTGGAAAGATGAAAAACTCTGTCAGGCAATGTCCCATGTAACTGTGTGTTTGGAAGTTGTAGAGTTGTTAAATAAGAAGAGAAATTTAGAGGGATAGTGGAAGAGATGTTGACAGAGTCAAGCACAAGCTCTCTTAATTGGGTCAAGTTCTTAAGGAGCAGTTCAGAATTGTGAGATCCAAGTGTAAGCACATTTGGACGATTGCTCGGGATACGAAGAACGTATAATTTAGAAAGATGAGAGATTTCTGAAGGAATTTGACCTGAAAAGCTTGAACTTGATAAATCAAGATGTGTCAAACTAGAAAACTCACCAAATTTAGGCGAAATGTGTGATCCAGAGAAATTATTACCAGATAAATCAAGCCTTTTGAGATTAGACAGTTTGAAAAGGCTACTATTGGAATGAAACTTGCCTTGAAGTTGACTGCAACTGAGGTCAAGCTCAATCACTTGGCCTGTAGTATCGTCGCAGTTAACTCCTTCCCATGAGCAGCAATCTCTACTCCTATTCCACGATAATGTCGTTGGATAAGAATTTAAACAACGAGAAGCGTCAGGATTTATGGTAAATATCTGTTTGAATTGTAGAAGAGCAAGAGTTTGATCTTTAGGGCACAAATACGTTGAGGATGAGGAGAAAGCAAGTCTAGAGAGAAGGGCACATAGCAGAAACAATGCAAGTTTTTCATAACCCATTTCTGCACTATAAAGATCAAGAAATCTTTGCTTTGTTCCTCTATTGAATAATTCTGAGGTATATATAGCACAAAGCAAGAAAATTTACTATTGTTGCTTTGCAGTAATCAATTCCCGGAAGCTCACCTAGTCATTTTCAGTCAAATTTTGAGTTGTCAATTACTATGATATGAAGCTTTAATGGGATGAATTTTTAGAGCGCTAAGACTTCTTCAATGATATTGTATGTATTTTGATACGGTGAAGTTGTTCTAATGAAAAAAACAACGTAATTAATCGTTCATCATATTATGCCATATTAACTGCAAGAACAAATATTGAAATGGAACAGTCAAGATTCATACAGCTGGCTCGAACTACCTTGAAACATAATCACTATTATAAATATATTAAATTAAATCCTACATACTGTAGAACTATCTACTATGGGGATATTAATTTTATCTAATTGTGGTCAAGTAAGAAATACTTATTTATTTTAAATTCAATTTAGAGTAAAGTAAAAAATCTATAAGCGTATTAGTTGGTGTATAGACCATGACGAAAATATTTTAAGTGTGAAAATTAAAAAAGAGTTTGATTAGTTAGAATAATGTATTAATTGGTGTGTAGACCTTACAAAAATCCTTTTAAAGTTTTGATTGGTTAGGATAAGGATGCTACTGTGAACGCATCTACTATAAAGTGATGAACTTGATATATTTTTTTCTTCCTTTTCAGTTACTTTTATATTACCAAAAAAAAAAAAAAAAAAAAAATCTGGTTGTACTGTTGGAATGCAAAAGTTTGCTTTAGAAAACAAAAATGAAGATAAAAATAAATAATTTCGTGACTTTATTAGGCTGAACATTAAAGAGAATTTTTTCTACTGTATCATTTATGTTACTTTTGAGATCGCACAAGCCTGTAATGTAACAAAACCAAATCAAGCTACCCTTGTGAAAAAGAATATTAACGTGTTTGCTTTCTTTGTTTTTGCTGTATCCAAGATTCTCTCACACCGGCTTTTAAGTCAAATAAGACGAAATTAAAGAGAAAGAAAATTACGTGGAAACAGAAGAAAATAAAATAAAGAAAAAATTTGATATAAAATGGGAAATGGAAGAAAAGAAGGGCCACGGACCTTGACCTACAAGTGAAGAATTCATTAAATAAAAACAATTCAGTAGGTAGGACATAAGGTCTTTGTTTTCGACTGATATATTCATGTTTATTTTTATTCTTAATAATTTGCAAAGATGTAATGAGAATGTTACAAAATTCCTATTTGGTAATTCTTGTACAGTTTTTGTAGATCATTAGTTTATTTTCGCTGTCAGAATCTGAAAGACATACTATTTATTTGTTTGTAGAGGAATCATCAACTTATGTGAGATTAAACTATGTTATTGATTTTGATTGATATAAAGCTATTCATTTTCAATGTAGTAATCGAGCTAGCGTGTTCATTTAAGCAAAACCATCTATTTGGAACTATCTTACACCGTTCCTTTGCATTTTAGAAATGCCGGAGAGGCTAAAAAATTACACCCAAAATAAACATTAGGAAAACAAAGAAAACAAAAGGTCGAAGCAAAAAATAAATATAGCACAACTTGTGGGAACGGTCGTCATTAATGTTGTCACCAAAAACATTATTTCACGTAGTGCTCTAACAGTAACAAACATGAAAGTGTGAGTTGTTGAAGCCAGGTAGATTATATGTTAAAGTGTTATTTTTCGCATATAAAATATTAGCTAATCCAAATCATTTTTATTTTTATTTTACATATAATTATTGTGAAATTTTCTACCAAGGCTTGGACTAATGTAAATGCACATCTGCCCATTTTGCATTATTACCATTAATTTTTTATTAGCTTTGTGCATTGCAACAATGGTCGCTAAACAAATGCATCAAAAATACATACAAGTACTTAGTGGTGACTAAGAAGGTTGCCTCAAAAGGTTGTTGGTGAAAATACTATAATTGACGACATACGGAAGTTTTAGCGGCGACAAAAGGTTATCAATGAAATGTAGGGCGTTACTACAACATACAAAATCTTTAGTGGCGACTACAGAAGTCGCACAAAAGGTTTTTAGCAAAATGTAGGCTGCTAATACAATTGGCGACAACTGGACCAGTAGTGGCGACTGTAGTCACCGCAAACGGTTGTCAGCGAAATTTAGGCCCCTCTTTTTGTGTCGATTGTAGCAGTCGCTACAGAAAGTCACTGAAATATTAATGGTTGGCAACAAATGGTATAACAGTTGGGGGCGACTATAGAGGAATGTTGTCCTCAAAATTTTTAGTATTAGATAAATTCCGAAATGATATAAATATACAAAAACATTTGTGTGAGGTATTACAAAAAATTTGAAGGGACAAAAATGCAAGTTTGTAACGACCCGGCCGGTCGTTTTGAGAGTTGGAGCCCCGATCCCCTATTAACTGCTTCCCCTGTATCTATTTCTGCTATTGTGACTTGCCGGGAGGTTTCGTTTTTGTTTGTGGAGTGTTTTGGAACACTTAGTCCCTAAACGAAAGCTTAAGTCTTAGAATTTGGACCATAGTCGGAACTGTGTGAAGACGACTCCGGAATGGAGCTTTATCGGTTTCGTTAGCTCCGTTAGGTGATTTTGTACTTAGGAGCGTGTCCGGATTGTGTTTTGGAGGTCCATAGCTCATTTAGGCTTGAAATGGTGAAAGTCAAATTTTTGGAGATTTGGACCGGCAGTGGAATTTTTGATATCGGTGTTGGATTCTGATTCCGGAAGTTGAATAGGTCCCTAGTGTTGAATATTACTTGTATACAAAAATCGGACGTGGTTAGGTTGGTTGCGGCATCGGTTATTGAATTTGGAAGTTTCAAATTCATTAAGTTTGGATTGGAGGGTTATTTGTGCTTTTTTAGCATTGTTTGTTGTGATTTGAGAGCTCGACTAAGTTCATATGGAGTTTTAAGATTAGTTGGTATGTTTAGTTGAGGTCCCGGGGGCCTTGGGTGTGTTTCGTATGCTCAACGGGTCATTTTTGGACTTAAAGAAGCAGTAGATTTTCTGGTTTTTGGTTGCAGATGTTTCCTTCATCGCGTTCGCGAGAGGAGTCTCGCGTTCGCGTAAGCCATCTGATAGGCCAGCGGAGTTTGCTCTTCGCGTTCGCGACGTTGATCCCGCGTTCGTGAAGTTATGGAACACTAAGGCTACGTGTCATGATAAGCACCTCGCGTTTGCATAGAGTCAATGCAGATGGGTTCCAGGCATAATAGCCTACGCGTTCGTGATGAGTGTCCCGCGTTTGCGAAGTGTCAGGCTAGTTGAGCTTCGCGTTCGCGACCAGTGCATCACGTTCGCGATGAGTATATTTTTGGTCCGAAGCAGCTTGTTCTTGCGAATGCGAAGCTTCGACCGCGTTCGCAAAGAAGGGCGTACCTAGCCAGAATTTAAAGTTCAAAAATGTGGGTTTTGAGTTCATATCACACAATTGGATTGAGAGCTCGGTAGAAGGCGAAATTTCGAGAGATTTTCAGAGGAAGTCATTGGGTAATAATTACTAACTCCTTTATGGTATCCCACTAATCTATCATTAGTTTTATCATTTAACTTTGAATTTAGGGTGAAAATTGGAGAAATTTGAGAAAAGTTCTTAGGCCAAAATTTGGAATTTTGATCGAGATTTTGGTGTCGGATTTGAGTAAATTTGATATGGTTAGACTGGTGAGTGAACGAGTGTTCATAATTTGTGACTTATCTGATTCCGAGATGTGGGCCTGGAGAGGCTTTTTGGGCATTTTTCTAATTTTCTTGCTTTAGCTTTAATTTCATTAGCTAGATTAGTTACTTGTAGCTATATTTACGTTATGTAATTGATTTGGCTAGATTGGGCCATCCAGAGTCGGATATTCATGGAAAGAGCATTGTTTTGGATTGATTTGAGCTTTGTTCGAGGTAAGTGGCTTGTCTAACCTTGTGTGGAAGAACTCCCCTTAGGATTTGGTATTGATTTGATATGTGAGCACCGTGTAGGTGAGGTGACGAGTACGTACACAGGCTATTTGTTGTAAAACCCCGTTTTTTTTCACTAATTCATAACTCGTTTCTCCTTATTTGAACTATACTAGTATATATATATATATGTAACTATCTTGTTTTAGCTAGAATAGCATGCCTACATGTTTTAACTGCCTATTTGAACTCTGTGCAGCATGTTTAGTGAAATTACCTATTTTTTATGCCTTGAACTTTAGTCTAAACTATAGGTTTTCTTGCTATAACTGTTATCTCTTTTGGTTGAGCTGCATATTTACTTTGGGACTATGGAACGGTATTCGGGGAAATCCTCTTGTACTGCATATTTACTTTAAGACTACAGAACGGTATTCTAGGAGATTCCCAGCACATTTATGTTTGGGACTACGGGACGATATCCCCAGAGATCCCCTGTTGTTATCATTGTGTTTTGAGATGTTGTCTTTCATTAATTTTATTCCTGTTAGATTTTCGTATTTCCTTTTACTATGATATTTCATTCTTCCTTATTTCATTATATTTATACCAGTAGGGTCCTGACTTGATCTCGTCACTACTCGATCGAGGTTAGGCTTGGCACTTATTGGGTACCGTTGTGGTGTACTCATGCCATTCCCTGCACATATATTTCGTGTGCAGATCCAAGTTCATCGTACCAGCCTCATCATTAGTTGCAGTCGTTGCTGCTAATTAGAGACTTCAAGGTACGTCTGCCCGCGCCCGCAAATCCTCGGAGTCCCCATCTATCCTCCTATGTTCATTTTTTCCTCTTTCTGTAAAAGTAATATATAGAACAGTTAAGACTTTTTTGTAGCTTGTGACTTGTGGGTTTCTGGGTTTTGGAAATTGTTTGGTGCATTTCAAAGGTGATGATTGTATATGACGAGTGGCATTTAGTTGTTTATTAGATATATTTTACTATTAGAAGTTTATGTTCAAGTTTTTATCTCATTTCAGCGAAGTGTTAGGCTTACCTAGTCGTAGAGACTAGGTGTCATCACGACAACTCACCAAATGATAAATTGAGTCATGACAAATTTCAAAATTTTAAATTGTGTAAGTGAAATCGTAATCTAACATAATAATTTTTTATAATTTAGGTAACAAAAAACATAGTTGCGTCACCAAACTTTATATAAGCTCAAAGAAGAAATGCGGAAAGGAATCAAACACCAAGAGGAGATAGTACCAAAATGTCTCAAGATTAGGTGTTTCAACTTAGCCA